TGAAGCCAGGAGTGGGTTCCTGTAGCAGCGTCGACATATGTTCTAGGCCATAATGGCTTGTATAGGTTGTACCGTGAAAATTTTCACCGGCACGCAGCCTGTACATTGCGGTAGGACATGAAGATCGGTATAGTGCTTATTCTAGCTTTGACAAGGCCCTCAGAGGGCTGTCTAAATTAGTATTGCATGTTTTCGGACCAAGTTTGATGGCGCACATAAGTATACAAATAAACGTACATATGTACAACGTAATCATAAAGATACAGATGAGTAAAGATCTGAATGTAGGCATGCACATCAATTAAAAAAACAAACACATAAACAAGTGCTCCTTCATGTGGATTTGTATATACATATATATATACACACACATATATATATATATACATATGCCAGCTACAAGTCGGAAGGCCGGAAATATCCGAAATTGAGTCTGAATCCAAAGCCGAAGCCGAGCTCCTAAACTCTAACCCTCCCCAGACACCGCGTTGTGGAACCCTTGGAGGTATCGCACTGACTTGCCAGTCCAGCTTGCGCAAGAAGCTTGACGCCCTAGCTTCGTCCAACAAAAATTGGTTTCAGGGTGTAAGCTGCCCTAAAACCCTAAAAACCCTAAAAACCCTAAAAACCCTAAACCCAAAGAACCTGAAACCCTTGTAAGCTGCCGGACTTGGGGTCTGACCAGACGTTGTAACCCGAAACCCTAAAGCCTAAGACTCCAAATGGCTCAAAGTAGGTATCATTTATAGACTTTAGACCCCAAAGTAGGTACTATTTGTATACTTGGAGTCTTAGGGTAAAGCCTAAGAATTGTTGTGGCTTGCGGAGGTTTCGGGATGAATGCGTGTTGAGCGTTCAGGGTTCAATTACGGGGTTTGGGTGTCAGGCTTACCGTCAAACTTAGGAGCCAAATAGGTAAATGTTACATTTTTTTGGTATATTGAACCCCTACTAAAAGAAAAGTTTGAACTTTTCTGGGCCAGGGTACTGGGCAGCTAAGTCAAGGTGTGCAGGATGAGGTGAGGGCTCGTTGAACTGTTGTTTTTGGTTCACTCCGCGTTTAGGCATCTACTGACATTGAGATAAGTTGGTTAAAGTCCTGTCTTCTTCTTGTTTGAGTTTCGGTTTTATTTCAGTGTGTGTCCCTTCATATCGTGGGTCATTCTTGAAGTAGGGCTGGGTTTTCTACACGTGTGTTCTTCTCAGTTTGGGGTTTTCCTGTCAAAACTGAAGCATAGAAATGCAGAGGGAATCCTTGCTGAGGGCGATATTCGCGAAAATCCTTCTTCAACCCCAAAAAACCCTAAGCACTAAGCAGCATGCAGGAAGGATGCCTTCCAACAATGTGTGTGTGTGTGTCTTTTGCTTCTGGCTTGATTTGAACACAGACTGGTATAGGAGTCACCCCCCAAAAAAGAGCAGCCTCCCACCGCACAGCCCGAAATCTGGTATAGAGCCTAAGCCCTAAACCATCATGAAGCGAGCCATGCCAAATCAAAGCCCTAACCCCATAGATACCTAGACCCTGACAGAACAAAACTGAACAATAGCACCAATCCCAAATTCAACTACGATTTAAGCACCCAGACCTGGACACCTACAGACACAAAAGCCCCTAAACTCTCAACCCTAAACCCCAAAACCCAAACGCTCCCTATGACCGTGAAGTCCAAAGCCCTTGCTACATGATCCACTATAAACCCTGAGCCCTAAACCCTATAGCACCCTAAACCCTAAACCTTAAACCTTAAACCCTAAACCCTAAACCCTGAACCTTAAACCCTAAACCCTAACCCCTAAGCCACTTCGGAGCCTTTCGGGCGTCTGCCGCGACATGCGCTTTTGCCTGGGTGCCAGATGCGTAGCCGAGGTGGAGGGATGCCCGGGCGGGTGTAGGGATTCTAGGGTTGGTGTATGGTTTAGGGTTTATAGGGCCTTCTGGGTTTTGCATGCTCTTATGGTTTTTCTACGGTTCCATGGTTGTTTTGGTCTTATGATTTTCTGAAAGGATCTATGGGGTGTTACCGTAGAGTTTTTTCAGGGCTTTAGGGGTTTCAGGGGTTCGGTTTCTTTGCTTGAAGGTTCGATGAGCGATTTCTCGGGGTTGCCTTAAACTACCATAACCTAATTGCTTGTAGGCTCTTATTATGAACCCTAATCTAGAATTTTTAGGGGGACCCAACAAAAAAGTAGGCTTTGATAGCTTGAGGTAGGGTTTAGGGTTCAGGGTGGTTTGGTAGTTTAGAGCTTACGATCAGGAGTCAGAATTTCGGGCTTAGGGTTTTACAGGAGTTGCGCGCAGGTGTTTGTCAATTCTGTGGTGTCCGAGTTTGGGAAGGCTTAGGGATTGTGGGTCTTGGGGTTCGATGGTGTGCGGATTTGGCTTCAAGGCACCATCCGGGGGTAAGGGCATACTCGGTTTGGGCCACTTTTGGGCTTGGGCTCAAGTAATGGCGTAGACCCCGCCCTTCTGCTAGGCATCCCAATTTATAATCCCAGATCTTCCAATCTGCCCGAGTTGCGGAATGCTCCTTAAACCCTATTAGGCTCCTACCATAGATTCAGATGCATTCCTCAATCAAGGGGTATTGGAAGATCTGGTACATTAAGAATTAAGACCCTTGCAAAGCATTGTTCTTGGCTAAGCAAGTGCTCGGCCGTCGTGAAGATGTTCCTCAGCGGATTCCAAGAACAGCTGACGAGGACGGATGCGACTGCAGTCCAGAAGAAGGCAGCCTTGCGCGCTTTGGGCGTGCACCTGAACGGAGTGTGGAGTGCCGCAGGACTCAGAAACCGAGTGCTGCTAGCGGAGGAGGGCCAAAAGCTCAAGTACGCGCTGGACCCCTTTACCCCAGCAATGCAGTACACGGGCACCAGGGATAATTGGTCGGTGCGACGCAAGACGTCGGACACCGAAGCCGGAGGCTCCATGCAGCTATAAAGAAGTTCACTGAGGCCTGAAAGTACCCTACATAGGAACCCCTTTTGAAGGCCAAAGTATGTACTATATGACTATATAGGTAGATGCAGCCCTATGCGAAGCTCTTCGGAGCTCGGAAGCATTACTTTCATGGTTCAGAGCTGGCAGCCCGTTGTATCCGGATCTGGGGTTGGGAATGACAAACGTGTCCGGGACACTAGCTTGCAAGCAGGCGGCGCATGCCTGCAACTCAGGGTTGCCATGGCATGCCACACACAATCCACATGGCAAGCAATGTGTTTTCACATAACAAAATGTCTTGTGATCGTACTTTGGTTCGACAGCGTCCAGGGTTTTACAGATCAGTGCATGAGGGTTTGGGGTTTCGGGGTTTGGGCATTTGGGGGTAATGGTTCAAGGTTCCGTTCCGATTTGCGGTTTTTTGGCTGCCCTTCCGCCGCCCCTGCAGGAACGACCACACTCGGCGGGGAGAGGCCACGGCCAAACCTTGGGATGCCCAAAAAGGTCCTATATAAGTGCCTGACTCGGGGGGGGGGGATACTTACTCAAACCATAATTGCAATTTGTGCTATAGATTAGAACTTACATAAGTACGTAGGCTGCAGTGGGATGATATGAGTTTTCGGGCAACTGCAAGTGCTTAGGGCTTGGGGTTTCCGGCTTAAGCTGCAAGGTTTCGGATGTAGGGCTTATAAGGCTTAGGGTTGAAGCTTTGGAGCCCAATAGGTAAACTTTAAACTTTCTTGGTATATTAAACTCCTACTAAAAGAAAAGTTAAAGCTTTTTTGGGCCAGGGTACTGGGCAGCTAAGGAGGGTAAAAGCCCCGAAGGCCCCCTGTACTCTCCCCGTGTAGTACCTGATAGCTACCCATAGTCCTCTAAGTAGTTCCTTGTTATGGTTTATATGTATAATCCTATAATGTAATCCCAAAAGGAATTACTTAGGGGCCTATGGGTAAAGTGCAGCTCTTCAAGCCGTACATGTTTGGGACTTAGCTGGACCGTAGGACCTTAGCCTGTTGGTTTCCTTTTGGGCTCTCTTCTTTTAGGGTCCCAGAAATTTCTTTGTAGCCTTAGACCTAAGTCCCACCTAAACACCTAAACCCTAAGCCCCTAAACCCCTAAGCCCATGGTGCCACGTTGGTTTGTATCAGAGGAGCATGGTGTGGGGAGCTCGAAGGGTTTCCAAGTCCACTGGCTTTAGGTTTTACCCGGAAGCGCCCGCCATGGCGACGGAGCTGGTGACGTCGCTCGAGCTGAAGCTAAAAATTTGCAAGACGGTTTGGAAGGGACGCTGATCGTTTGTCAAGCAGTAGCAACCAACTGCTGTTGTGACTTCGTGCGCAGGATTCAGAGGTGTGAATGATGTCACAGGCGTCAACTCTCCCATGTCAAACCCAGAGGACGGTGGTTTCGAGTTCGAAACGAGGTGCGTCCTTTCCAAGCCTCTGGGCAGCCTTGGGAAGCGAACCGAGTGAGAACGAGTGAGGACGCATCGCGTCGGTGGGCAGGGCGTCCCCTTCCGAGGTACCTGAGATTGGCTGTGGAGAACGAGGGGAGCAAGATGAGATGCTGAATCGGAGGCTTCGAGAGAAAGGTATCTGCTCTAGCTTTGGAAGTTTGGAACTCCACTTGAGGCCCTTTACCAGCCTTATATTGATTGCGGAGCTATTCATGGAGCCTTACAGAACCCTACAGAACCCTAGAAGGCTTAAAGAACCCTTGAGGTGGCTTGTAAGCCATATAAGTCATCACGCCCAAAGGGTGCAAGCACCAATAGAGGTAGGTTCTTAGTTGGTATTTGGGGCCCCCAGAGTATGTACCATACTGTTATATACTTGGACCCCTAAAGGTTTACGGTTTAGGGTGTAGAGTCTACCCATAGGCCCCTAAGTGGTTGCTTTTTGGGAATACCTGAAAGGATTCTAAATATAAGGCACAAAAAGGAACTACTATGGAGCCTATGGGTAAACCCTAAACCCTAAGCCCAAAACCCTAAACCCTAAGGCCCAAGGTTCAAAGCCATAGGCCCCCTGCGCTCGCCGAACTCGCCTAAAGAATGGAACCGGATCGTGGATGTGGCTCTGCGCCGCCTGGGCTGGAAGTGGGGGTGGATGTGGGCACTTTGCGGAAGCTGCTGATGGAACAATCAGACCGGATTCGAGAGTCCGGTGATCGTGTCCTGGGGGAGGCCATTACAAGAATACAGCAGAAGCATGAGGAGTATTTTGTCTTGATCGATGCCACGGTGCAGCAACTGTCGGAGCGGTGCAATAGTCTTGCGAGCAGGCTGCGGATGCTGGCGGAGGGCCAACACTTCGCTAAAACCAAGGAGGACGCTCATCTGGGAATGAGGCACCGATGATTTCCGGTGAGAAGGACATATCGGGCGACCTGACTTTGCTTGGTGTCGAGGGTTTTGACTCTGGGTCGGAAAACAGCCTGAGCGAAGAAGATACTAAGTGTACTGGTTCATGGGCCAAGGATGGTGCTGATGGTTGCACTTTTCCTGTGGGAGCTGGCAACACTGACAACAGTAGGACTGCTGATCTGGGATGGAAGCTCAAGCACATGCGATCATGGAGCGGTTGCAAATTGGGACGCGGTTGGTACAGGCACCACGGGGATGCTGACAGCTGGTCGAGGTTTTGTGCAAAAATCTGCGTTTTCCCAAAGTGGACTGGCGACATCACTGGCGATCGTGGGAGTACCCGAGTTCTTTGATGCATGTCTGGATTCAAAGAACAGGGCTTCGAGTCCACTCGGACTCGGGTTGGACAGCTGAAACGTGTGTCAGTGTGCGTCATAATGGAGACTGGTTGCAGCTAAGCTTCCTTTGTCTGGTACTTGCTGTTCTGCTGAAAGAGCGCGTACTGGGAAGTGAATGGTGGAAAATTGCTGTGTATATGCTTGAGCCGAGAGTGAAGGAGGGAATGAGTTTGAGCCGTGGTCATCTAACATGGGTGACAGTTGGCTATTGTGGTGAGAGGCGTACCTTTAAAAGGTGTGTCGGCTGAGCGTACATCCTGCCACACTATTTGCTTTCGGGGTTGTCTAAAGTGGACGACTACAAGCCTTGCCTTGAAACACGGTGCTCTGTTTTCTAGGGTCTAAGGTTTGCGGTGTTGAGAATCTTCCGCCGCTGCATGGCCGGTCTGTGATGGCCCGGGTCGACTTTTATCGTGTTTTTTCTCCCTGAAAGTGGAGGTACACGAGGGAGCCGATTTGGTTCGCCTCAAGTAGGCTTCCGTAGGCCGTACCCGCGTGCAGGCGGAAAAGAACCTTCAGAAAAATACCAAAAACCTATAAACCCTAAAGCCCTGAACCCTAAACCCTACTTGGACCCTTTGGGCCGCCAGGCTTCTGCAGGAGCCGCAAGCGCTGTTGCGGGACCGCCGGCGAACGCCGGAGGATCCGCTAGCCCGGGCCCTGAAATTCAGGGCTCCTCACGGGTTTCCTCGAAAGGATACATTGAAAGGGCCCCTTTTTTGCATATATATATATACATATGTACATATGTGTATAATATATATATATGCATATATATATATATATATCATATATCATATATCATATATCATATATCATATATCATATATCATATATCATATATCATATATCATATATCACATATCATATATCATATATCGTATATCGTATATCGTATATCATATATCATATATCATATATCATATATCATATATATTATATCATAAAACATATGACATATAACATATATCATAAATCATATATCATAAATCATATGTCATATATCATATATCATATATCATATATCATATATCATATATCATATATCATATATCATATATCATATATCATATATCATATATCATATATCATATATCATATATACATATACATATGTATAACCTGTGTATATATATATATATTGTTTATAGTTATAGTTATATATCATGTTTCTGCTGGTGTGCAATGTGTGCTTAGCTAATACTACATTCATTACAGCTTATTTGTAGCTCAGGTTGTTTAAAAGGTTTAACAAGTGTGGACTCAAGGCTGTTGGGGCTGCTTGGCTTAGGGTTTGGGGGTGGCCACTGTTGTTTGCGCTGTACGATTTAGTTCACTCTTGGGTTTCAGTGAGTGCAGAAGTGGTTGTTGAGGGATAATTCAATTATTAGCAAGTATATGCTTGGGTTTGATCCTTGGGATGCTAGGGACAAAAAAACCCTACCTCGTTCTTTTGAGAGAGAGAGAGAGTGTGTGTGGTTCTTGGCTAACTTGCCTCAATCGAACACCGACCGTGGTAGAAGAGGATGAGCGTAGGCCCTGAAACTATTAGTTACTATGGAGGCACTTCCCCAAATTGGGGTGGTTTCTCGGTCTATGGTGGAAGGCCACCCCTTGCAGATTCAAGTTCGTGTTGGAGGTTTTCATTTGCACACAGTGCATCCGAAGCTTCTCAACCCTAGAAGTGAGGTTTAGGGTCTGGTTTGGTTTAGGTTTAGGGTTTCCCCCACGAAGGAGCACCCTTATATTTAGCAGGATCTGAAACCAGGACACCGTACTGTTTCGGAATCGCTGTTGCGAAGCCAGGCTGAAAACCCTAAGCCCTAAGCCTTCTAAGCCTTATAAAACCCTAACACCCTAAACCCTAACACCTTAAACCTCAAAACCCCAAAACCCAAAGCCCTATACCCTAAACCCTAAACCCCTTAAGCCCTAACACCCCGAAACCGCAAAACCCTATCTCCCAAAACCCCAACCCCCAAGCCCCGAAGTCTTGAGGGGCGAAGCCCTACATCCCAGATCCGAACCCCCCCCGAAGCCCGAAGCCCAAATGAGCCCTAAAAGTAATCCTATAAGGGTTCCTTTAAGGGTTCCTTGTAGGATGGTTCCAAGGGTTCCTTTAAGGGGATCCTTTTCGGACGGCTGAAAAGGGCTCCTAGAAGGGCTTCCTCTAAGAGTTCTTTTTAGGATCACTGCAAGGTTCCTAGAACTTGTGGGAACCCTTACCTACGGTGGTCCTAAAAAGAATTCTTGAAGAAGCCCCTACTAAGGACCCTCATAGCCATCACCCCTAACAGGAAGCCTTAAAGGAACCCTTATAGGAATCCTTTGTAGTCATCCTAGAAGGAACCCCCTGTAAGTAACCCGCAAAGTAAAGGAGCCCGATAATCCCCTAAACCCCTAAACTCCTAAACCCCTAAACCCTAAACCCCTAAACCCCTAAACCCCTAAACCCTAAACCCCAAAAGCCCTAAACCCTAAACCCTAATCCCTAAACACCTAAACCCCTATAGACCCTAAAGCCCTAAACCTTAAGCCCTAAGAGCCCAAAACCCCCAAAACCCTAAAAACCCTAAAAACCCTACACCCTAAACCCTAAGAGCCCTAAACCCTAAACCCTAAACCCTAAGAACCCTAAAGCCTAAACCCTGAACCGAATTTGAAGACAACGCCTGCGAGGACCTGGATCGAGGACCTGGAGAGGCTGGGGAGGGCCTTGGGCTCCGGGAGTTTAGAGCTGTACACGTTTAGGTTCAAGGTTTAGAGGGCTTAGGGTCTAGGGTTTAAGGTTTAGGGCTTAGGGCCTAGGGCTTTGGGTTTAGGGTTTAGAGCTTTCGTTTTGGATTATAGGGCCTATGGGGTTTAGGGATAAAGGTTTAAGGTTTATGGGGTTTCGGGTTTAGGTGTCTACCGGGAGTTTAGAACTTTACACGTTCAGGTTTACGGTTTATAGGGCTTAGGGCTCAGGGTTTAGGGTTTAGGTTTGAGGTTTAGCAGCGCTTAGGGTTTAGGTGTTAGGGCTTAGGGGGTTTAGGGTTTAGGGTTTACAGTTTAGGGTTTAGGGTTTAAGGTTTAGGACTTAGGGTTTAGGTGTCTATTTTTGTGTGATTCCTTGGACGTTGAGGTTTTCGGACTTGTTGGTTTTCAGTTGCAGGGTTCAGTGCTTAGGGTGGGGGGAGGGGGTTGAGGATCTGGGGGTCTGGGTTTTTTATTGTGTTGTTTCTTGGGTTCTGCTAAAGGAAGCTACAGAAGGGGAGTTTAGGGTATATAGGGCTTCTATACGGCTTCTATGAGGTATATAGACCTTCTATAAGGCTCCTTTGAAGGTAACTACCCACCTGAAAATGTCCTAGGCTCTGTGGTTGGGGCTGTAGGCACCGCTCTCACTGCTGCTATCCACGCTTCAGCATGTGTGTTGGGTTGTGTTGTGTTGCAAGGAGCCTCACAAGCTTGCAAGATACCGGGACTATGGTGTAGTGTTTAAGGTCTGGGGTCGTCGAATTATGCAGGTTATGCCACAGTAACAGGCCCGAATCATCATATGCAGCAGAGCCTACAACTTAAGCTCCAAATCCTCAACCCCAAACCCCACCGCCCAAATCCGAAGCAAGCCTAAATCCAAACCGCAGAAGACATGAAGCCGATCCCTGCAAGCTACTTTGCCAAGCCTGCTTCGAGGTCCGTTTTGAATCCCCCCCTCACAACCCCTCCAATATCCTTTAAGGGGCCGCCGCTAGCCAGTGTATGTATGTATACAGCCGTAAAGCGGATCCCCAGATCCTAAACCGTCTCAGCTTCACAAACGCAAAGCTCGGAGAAGTGAGAATGCTTGGCAAAACGGATAAATTCTTCAGCAACCTCATGCAAAGCGTCCGACTGGCACCTGAGTGCCCTGAACTCTGAACCCTAAGCCCCCCCCCCCGAACCAGCAAAGCCCTCAAGTGAGGTTTATAGGGGTTTGGGGCCTAGGGTTTACGGCCAAAACGGTTTAGGGTTTAGGGGGTTCAGGGGGTTTAGGGACTGTCGTCAGTTGCCTCATCCCATTCAGCGTGTGCCCGTAGAGGCGGACTTGATGTAGGCCAGGATTATCCCAAACCCTACCTGGGAATCCAAAAACCTACCGTTTTAGGGGTTCTACCCTCTAATTAAGGGATCATAACCTACTATTCTGTAGGGTTTGGGGTCACAGGTAAGCCCTCGCTTCGTGGCAGTCCGCATGACCGATTGCAGAAGCCCTACACCCTCAGCCTTAAGACCCAAATCCGCAGCCCTAAACCCCAAGCGCCCCCAAGCCCTAAGCCCTGAAACCCTAAACCCTGATCCCTAAACACCCCCAAACCTTTCCCTGAAACCCTAATCCAACAAACCTTAAACCCTAAACCCCAAAAACCTTCGACCCTAAACCCTGAAGGCCTCAACTTTCCCTTGACGGCTGGACAGGCAGTTCTACTTGTAGAGCGAAGTCCCCAGCTCGTGCCACTCTCGGCTCGACTTTTGGGTTTCCTAGTCCCCCCAATACCCAACCTTTAAAACTTTTTGGGTTCTTATGATTTAGTATCCTTTTATTTCCCTGGCTCATTTGGGAAGTAGGGCTTAGGGTATTTAGCAGGGATTTCGAGTTTTTTGGGTTCAGGATTCTTGGGACTAGGGTCTAGGGTTTCCGGGTTTAGGGTTTCAGGGTTTAGGGGTTAGGGTTTAGGATTTCAGGGTTTAGAGGGTGGAGGGGTTTGCACTTCTCAGCTCGATTGTCCAAGGCAAACACTCTCACCTGACAAGACTCAGGCTTAAGCAGGCACTCAGGCCTCTTGATTTCTTGCACTGCTTCAGCAGTAAGCTCCCCAGCAGAATCCTCCCACTCACCTAAGCAACGTAGTCCTGAAGAGTCCCCCTCCCTCTCGGTGTGACAGTCAGCGTTTCCCTTCGAAGAGCAGCAGAGGGTCTACCGACAGTACCCTGCAGGAACTACTTGAGACAATGGAAGAGATCACAACCCTGGAAATTCCCGTTGGTGCCACC